CAGGAGATGTTAGAATAGACGGAGGTGAAGACCGCGGCGAAGCAGTTCAGCATCACGAGTGACACGTGGGAGGAGGTGATGATAGCGCACTGGGGATCTTGTGACCACCGACATGAGCCAGCAGAAAAGGCAGCCACCAGGATCTACGGAGAGTGGGTCACGAGTTTGGAGGAGGCGGCCATCATCACGGACGGTATCAAAGCAGATAAAGCAGAGCAGTAGAGGCAGGGCTGATGGCTTCGAGGTCAGGTGGGTCCAGGCGCGATCCACGCCAGGGCGTGCCCACATGAAGCTCAACGTGGCGGAGCACTGGGGCATCATGAACGCGATACTGATCTGGTACCTCGCCCTCCGTAGCAACGACGCGGATTCTGGCCAGCAAGCCAAGTGTCTGACGGACTCGCTCGGCCAGATGAAAGCGCTCCAGCAGTTGAAGCAAGACCCGGTCTCCGGTAGAAAGTACGGGCAAGAGACGCGCAACAACTACTACGAGATGCTGGGGGACCTAAGGGGCCTGGACATCGGCCAGATTCAGAACTCAGTCAACCAGTCAGAAGGACACTTAGCGACGGCTATGGCGAGAAGCTTCACGAACCAGAGGAGCTTCACCAAGTGGGCCAAAACTGCGTGGAAAGGCAAAGTTGGACCCCTGCGTCGGCACGTGAAAGATCAGCAGTGCCCCAGGTTTGAAGTGATTGCTGACACTTGCAGGGGTATGGCAGACCCACATGTTATAATACCTATCAAGAAATCGGATTGGCAGTATATATGGACGGGCCCAGTGGACACCAATCAGGACATCGCAGAGCAGCTCAACCTCATGAGGGCCAAGGTTTGGGAGGAGGACATCGAGCCGCTCGCGCTCGAGGGCCCAGACGGCGCCATCAGGCCATCAGATCATCGCCCTCTTCGAAGGCGAAAGGAGTCGACCAGTTGGGGCCGCAAGATATCGAGAGGGCGCCGAAGGAGGCTCGAGTATGGCTTCTTCAATTATTACAATATTACGGGCAAGACATTACTTGGCCGAGACAACTGGCAGCCACCAAGTGTGCACTGGCAGCCAAACTTCCAGGAGGAGACCGTGTTCTGGGTATGTTGACGCTTCCGATCAAGCTTTGGTCGAGAGCTAGGAGAGGATGCTGCGACCGTTGGAGTGCTGGTCTTGAGGCACACTGGGACACCGCGCTCAACGGCAGCCCCGCCCTCAGAGCGGTCCTGTTGAGGGCATGCCTCGACGAGGTGGGGGCAGAGCTGGGAGCGTCAACCATGACATTATGTTGGAAGATGAGACATTCTATGACACGGTCTCGTTCATCATCCTGGTGCGCATTGCAGTCGAGGCGGGTTTCCCAGCTGTCGTGGCGGCCCTAGAAATGACGGCCTTCATCGGGCCGAGGTTCCTGCAGGAGCGCAGCATCCTGAGCGAGGCCACCTGGGCTGCCAGATCGCTGGTGGCGGGCTCTGCACGTGGGTTTGCAGAATTGTTTCTCCACTCCGTATTGGGCCGAGCACGTCGTCGCGCCCCCACCTCGTCCTCAACTTTCGTGGACGACGCTGTCGCGAGGGTGGCAGGTTCCAGAGTGGGCGGTGCTATCAAGGAGGTCACTTCTCTCATCGCGGAAGGCCTCGAGCAGCGGAGGATGGCGGCATCCTGCAAGTCGCTGCTCCTAGGCACCCACCCCAAGGGTGTCAGGAGGGCCGCGGAGGAGTTGCGCACGAAGGGGGTCCCCATCCAGGCGGCTGCAGCGGCGGTGGACTTAGGCATAGACACCTCGGCAGGACGCGAGCGGATCACGGCGAAGGCCGCTCTTCGTCGACAGAAGTCCAAGAAAGGATTCGCCAAAATAATCATATTGCGCCGAGTTTCAGCACTAGCACGAGGAAGCAACGGATTATGGACAACGGGAGCCATGCCGCAGGCAGTCCACAGACACCAGGCCTTCGGGATGGCGGTTCACATACTACAGCGACTACGCCGACAAGCAGGGCAAGTAGCTGGAGGTAAGGCAAGAGGGCGATGTCTTACTACGACGCTGGTGGTGGAGATGTGGAAAAGATATCCAGCCATAGCTCGCAGGGCCGCGATCATCAAGGAATGGATCGACCTTTGGCAGCGCTTCCCAGAAATTCACCACGGGGCCTTGAAGGCATGGCCCCAGATAAGGAGGAGACTGGTTGGACTGGAACCTCAAAGATGGAGAGGAGTTCGAGGACAAGTCGGAGCAGCGCAGGCGACATTGATGGATGTGGGCTGGTTTGCGCCGACGTGGTCCCGAGCAGTCGGAGACGACGAAGACACGGCGGAACAGTGGGACATCCCCTCGTCGCTGGACGGGACATTCGAGGCAAATGGTTGCTTCCAGCCGCTCACCGACGATTTCGTGGAAGATATGTTCAAACAGTTGTGGGCGAAAGCAGCTCAGTACCCTGAAGGAGTCGGACTACACCATGGGGCTGATGTTTGGCATATCCGAGCTGAGCACAAACGCTTCGAGGAGAAAGGTCAGCTGGACATGATTGGATTGGATATGGCTGCGGCGGCAGGCGGACAGTGGAACAAGCCCGGGGCATCGGACAGCGGATACCTGATGCCCAGCAAGATATGTGACTGATGCAAAGAGGCAGAGGAGACCCTGATGCACAGGATCTGGCCTTGCCCCAAGAACATGGACCACGAGGATTTCCAGCTGACGGACTCCCTCGTCCCCGCTGCGATGGCGCAGGAGGGCGGCCTTCTCAGAGGGCGAGAGGCTGCGCAGAGAGGCTCGGAGGTTGCTGACAGGGCTTCTTGGGAAGCGGGGAGGGTGACAGTAATCAACCCCTTCCTCGTCCTCGTCCTCATCCTCGTTCTCATCCTCCTCCTCCTCCTCCTCCTCCTCCTCCTCCTCCTCCTCCTCCTCCTCGTCTTCTGAGCAAGCCGGCCCCCTCGGGTCGCACCATCCTGCGCGCGGCCGGCCGGAGCCCGCAACCGAGCCCTCCCCATGCCTCCTCCCGACGTCGAGCCCTTCAGGTCACCCAACATCGGTCTCGTGCGCTGCGCGCAACGCGCCGCGCGATGTTCGTCGCGCTCTGGCGCCAGCGCCTGGGAACACCAGCAACAACTAACCCTCTGGCCCAGACCATCCAGCGCAAACCGCGGGAAGATCTGCGCCCCTGTGGATGACCTAGAATCCGCGTCCAGCTGCGACGGCGAAGAGCCGCCCGAGGGCAGAGCTGAGGCTGCGAAGAGGAATCGAACGTTTACACAGACCTACCTGCTTCCTCCTCCCTCCTCCCCTGACTGTGCTTCTTCTCTCTGCGGGAGGGGAGGGGGACAACGAGGTGGATCTCTGCGAGGGGGGCGCCGCTCCGCCTCGGGGCCATCCCTTGGGCGCGGAGGGCGCCGCCTGCCCGCCTGCGCCGATCCTGGCCAGGCTCCTCGATTCTCGATCCTCGTCCTACTCCTCCTCCTCTTCCTCCTCCTCCTCCTCCTTCTCCTCCTCGTCCTCCTCTCCTCCTCCTCCTCCTCCTCCTCCTCCTCCTCCTCCTCCTCCTCCTCCTCCTCCTCCTCCTCCTCCTCCTCCTCCTCCCCCTCCTCCCCCTCCTCCTCCCCCTCCTCGGGCGCGAGGACAGAGCGTTCCAGCCAGCCATGGCACCGGAGCTGCCGTGCCGCCGCTGGCGCGATCCTCGGGCTCCTTGGGCGGCTCGTCGGGCGGCGGCGGTGGCTTCTGCGGGGGCGGGGGGGGGCGACAGGAGGGAGGGGGGGGCGCCGACGAGCGTCCCGAAGGACGGCGCTACGAAGGTACGGCGGGCGGGCCCGAGTCCACTCAGCTCGACATGTCCTCGGCACCATGACGCAGCTCTCGCTGCCCCAGTGCCACCCACATGCCCATAATAGACCACGGAAGAGGGACCGTGTCCTCAGGAACGGGACCCGTGGATCTCGAAACCAAGGCAATCGCTGCTGCAGGCGCGATGAGGGGTGCTTCTCGGTTGAAGGGGAGGGGCGTGCACCCAAATGCAAAGATGCATGCGTATGCCTAATTATCCAGTCTTCCCTCCCCGTCCACGTGCGCGGCGTGGATGCTGGGCAAGGGGAAGGGACGGGAGGAGGAAGCAGGAAGGAGGGCTGCGGGGCGAGGGGGGGGAGGAGGAGAAGGAGGAGGAGGAGGAGGAGGAGCAGGAGGAGGAGGAGGAAGTAGGAAGAAAAACAATGAGGGCGACGAGGGAGGAGGAGGAGGAGGAGGAGGAGAAGGAGGAGGAGGAGGAGGAGGAGGAGGAGGAGGAGGAGGAGGGTACTTAAGGAGAGAGGGATGAGTGAGGGCGGATGAGGACGAATATAAGGACGATGCACTCCACACTTCTACCAAGAGGGCGGATGAGAGCGAATATAAGAACGACGTGTAGGAACAAGGAACTCCCTTGCTTCCAAACTCTAATTCTGTGAGGTGGCCTTCTCGCTTACGAAGCAAACGGAGGCGTCGATGGCCACTTGGTCGTTACCACATCGGAGGGCAACAGAAATGCTGAGCGTCAGAGGCCGGTCAGGACAAGGCGGAAGCTTGAGCCGGGCATGCCGGCGGGACGGCGCTGCGCAGCGGCCGGCGCACTCGAGCGGGCAGGGACGCCCGAAGATCTGGCCAAAGGGCTGCGCAGCCTCGGACACCAATCCTCCGGCGGGCGCGGCGGCAGCCCGAGCGGGCGCGCCCCCCGGCCGAGACGGGACAAAGGCGGCCCGGCATCGCCACCGCTCGGCCTGCGACCCCGCCCGCGCAGCGCCGCGTGCGGGTCCCCGCCGCGCCGCTCACCGTCGGCAGCGGCCGCCGGCAGGCCACGCGGCCGAGCACGAGGAGCGCTACGCTTAGGTCGGGCCTGTCCCCCTGCAGGGGGATTTTGGCCAACAAAAACAAATACACCCAAAATATCCCCAAATACTCAGGAGCAGTCAAAAAATCGTCCCCTGACTATTTTTCAACTATTCTTGAATATTCCTCCTGTAGAGGGACAGGCCCGACTTAACGCTACAACCGTGCGGAGCTTTGTCTCAGCTGCGTTCCCATGGCCGGCGGCGCTGCCTTCCAGTCCACGCCAAGAGGCGAGATGCCGCGGAGAAGCCAGAGGAGCTCTCCACGAGACAGCGCACCCGTGGCAGATCGTGCCAGGGAGACTCGCAGCTCCTCGCTGGCGGCGGCGCCTCGGTTGGCCGCGTGCCGAAGCTCGGCCATGTCCTCCACGCGAACACGCGGCTCCTGCTCAGCTCCGTGAACGAGGCCTCCAGGCTCGGCTCGTCCAAACGTTTGCACTTGAGGCCGACCCGTTCCAACGCGCCGTGCGCCTGCTGGGCCGCCGCCGCGGTGCTGTCGATGGCCTGTGACGGACGCCGCCAGCCGAGGCGACGCCTGCAGCCACGTGGGCAAGGGGCGCGCGGAGTCGGGAAGCGCCTGCCGCAGGGTGTTCACGTCCGCCGCGAGCAACACGAAGTGCTTTCTCAGCGCAGCGGGGACGGCGATCCTGTAGAACGGGCCGCCACAGGAAGGCCCCTTTGGTACCTCCAGCGCAGAGCAGGCGCTCGCCGCGGGGAGCTGTGTGTGCGCGTGTGCGTGCTGGCCCCCGAAGGCGCTTGTTGGCTGCGCGGCTGCCCGCGATCATTATTGGGGGCCGCCGATCGCGCTTGAACGCGGAGGCGATGCCCGCCGTCGTGAAGGGGCCCCAGGACACACAAATAAATACACACAAATAAAAAGATCCCCCATATTTTCCTATATTTTCTGGGTTTTTGTCTTCCCCCCCACTTCCCATATTTTTCCATATTTTCTGGGGAATCGACAATTAATTGTGTCTGTGTGTTTTTTTCCCTCCTGACGTCGCCTATGTCCGTCCGATCCCCAGCAGCTGGCCGACAAATCTAAGTTGGGTCGATCTCCATTGCGCTAATTTGTGATCTGGCAACAGGTAAATTCGATGCCTGCCAGCTGGTCCACCACCGCGAGCCCAGCCAATCTAGCAGTCGGCGGGAAAGCACTTGATGCTCGCGGCTGGCAGAGGCGCTATGTCCTAAATGGTCGAAGTAAGTGGAACGGCGTACGGGCTCTTGTGTGCAGCCTGTCACGTGCGGGCGCAGCACGGCGGGAGCTGCCGCCCCTGCAAACAGCGGTGGCCCAACTCCCTCGACGGTGTCACGAAGATGGGCAAAACCCGCGCGCTGCGATGCCAAAGGTGGACGATACTGACGAGGGCATCCATATGACGAGTTGACTGCATGCACTTCTTCGAAAACCACCTGTCGCCGCCGATGATGAGCCTGCGCCAGGGCCTGTCCCAGCGGCGGCACCGCGACTGGCAACAGCTCCCAGGTGACCACCGCGCCTATATTCTTTCTGGCCCCACAATCAATTTACCGCCGCCGGGGCCACACTCCGTGCGCCGCCAGGGGCGTCGCCTGGAGCTCTGTCAATCGTCGCGCGGGCCCTCCTTGCCACCGCCTCCTGCAGACGGCTGGCCGCCGCGCGAAAACATTCGCTCCTGCTTCTGCCTGCGCTTTTCCTCCATCCACGTGGCCTCCGGGCCGAACTCCGCCCGGGTGCGCTCGACGAACGTCGGGCACGCCCGGGCAGGGCCCCTCGTCACCGGGCTGCACGCTGTGCCGTGCACAGGTACTCGTCTTGATAGACGTCGTCGCCGTTGCAGCCCCAGACACCGTCGCGGCGGTGCTTCCCGCGCGAAGAGATCTGCAGGGGACATCGCACGCCCGTCAGGCTGGTCAAAGTTTGAGCCCCCCCCGCTCGCGCTGCACCGGCTCGCGGTCCAGCACCTACGAGCTGAGAGTCAACCAAACAGTGCCGGCGCCTGCGTCGAGGCAACCCCCGCCTCCCACCTCACACTCAGGAGGAGCCTGGCACAAGTTCGCGTCAGCGTCGCAGTGGTCAGTCGCCTCCTCCATGGACTCACGCCCATCCTGAACCCGCCAACGGTGTATACGCCACGCCGTCCCGGCTTTGCCAGGAGGGTGTGTACACAGCTCCTGGGCCCAGGAAGGGCCCTGCCAGTGGGTAGTGAATATGCATCGATTTCGTCGCCCGACTCCAGCCGCAGATGCGCCGTTTGGAGGTCGGCACATCCAGAAACGAGCCGCGCCAGTTGCTGGCTCTCTCCCGCTCGCTGCCTCGAACTCTTCGGCATCGGCGGCGGCGCAGCAGCACGCAGGCCTGAAAGCCTCCACCGACACCTCCCGCTGCGCCAGCACGCGCAGCCCCTGAACGGAGCACGCGTGGCACGGCGTGTGCGGATCCAGCCGAGGCCACACACGCCGGGAGGCCCCGCAGCAACCGACCGGCGTGCCCGTCGGTCGGAAGAAGTAGGCAAAAACATGAAGTAGGAAGACGGCCAAAGTAGGTTGGGTTCAGGCCCTCCCAGAGAAAAAACAAAGCACAGCAACAGCATATCAGTTCTTGAAGTAATACTGCGCTTGAGGTAGATTGAGATCCGAGAGCCCAGAAATACTCACACTCGACGGCCGGTGTGTGCCCGCAACCGCAAGAAGAACCCGCGACAGCCACGCGAGCGAGGCCCCCAACGTCTCCACCAGGGCGTCCACGGGCCACCGCGCTGCCGAGCTGCCAGGCCCCGCTGGCCGCGTGCCCGTCCTCCGAGGAGCTGTCGCTGCGCCTGCTGGAAAACTGCGGGCCCACGCTCCGCAGAGGCTCTGCGGCGGGATGGCGCTGCGCTGCGGATGAGGCGTCCTGATGGGCCAGGACGTTCAAAGAGCTTGATCGAGGAAGGGGAGGAGAAGGAGAAGGATGATGATGAAGGAGCATAGTAGTGATGAGGAGCGAGAGTGATTACCAATCTGCGGATCCTGCGCCGACCACAACGTGGCTCCTCGGGGTCTTACGTTTGCTGCATGGGCGAAAAGCCCACCCCACAGGCTCTACCCGCACATCGGAGGAGGAGGAGGAGGAGGAATGCAGGAGGGACTTGCCGCAGGCAGCTGGATAGATGGATGGACCAGCCAAACACCAAGCCGAGCCGAGGATGCGACGGCATCGTTTCGAATGATGATCCGAACTGTGCCCAACGTGAGACGGACCCGTCATGCGGAGGGAATGGAAGACAGAGAGTGAATTGCAAGTGAAAGCCTGTGGCATATTTCTCGCAAATTGGGCCGATCCCCCCGCGGCCACACGGACCCGCCGAACCAGCAGATGTCCCTAAGCCGACAGGACCTCGAGACGATGGAGAATTGCAGCTGTATTGTTGAGGCTCGCAGAACAACAAGTTTTACACGAACGCGAGCGGCTGCCATGCCACTTTTGGCATGGCAAACTACATTTGCAGGGCCACCTTGAGGCACCCCCCTCTCTCTCTTTCTCTCGCGCGCGCTTCGCGCGCGCTCAACTTCTAGCCAGGGTCATGAGCATCGTCATCATTGTCATCCTCCTCCCCGTCATCTTCATCGTCATCGTCATGGTCATGGCCATCTTCACCGTCACCACCACAACAATCCGCCTCCTCCTCCTCGTCCTCCTCCTCCTCCTCCTCCTCCTCCTCCTCCTCCTCCTCCTGTCTCAACGCACCCAATACACGGGTGCCTACTGGAACGCGTGCCGGGAGCCTTTTTGGAAGCATTGTGGCAGTCTCTGGAGCCTCTCCGGGCCTTCCTTTGGAGTCCTTTGGGGCCTTTCTTTGTTGGCCCGTCTGAGAGCCCATTTCGGTCGTTCTGGGTCCCTCTTGGCTCGTCGTGGGGAGCTCAGCCTGTCTTGGGGCCCTCCTGGGGCCCTCTCCGACCATGTAGGAATCCTATGGTGGCCCCCTCGGGCTTCCTGGGGGCTCTCTTGGGCCGTCTTGTAGCTTTTCTGTGCCGCTCGAAGCTCTCTTCAGCCCATCTTGAAACCCTTGTTAGGGCCTCTGGGGCCGTCTGGGGCCCATTTTGGTACACCGGACTCATTTCTATAGCACTCACTTCTGTAGTGCTCACATTCACATTGAAGTCCAGAAGGGGCCGCACATGCAGGTACATGCCGCACAGTCGAATGCACGTGCCCATGCAACTCCAGAAAAGCCTCAACTGCACTGCCGCACATGCGCGCACATGCCGCACAGTCCGATGCACAGTCGGATGCACAGTCTGGCAAAACTCTGAAAATATAAAACGCACATGCGCGCACATGCCGCAGAGTCGAAACATCGGAGGAGGGAGGGACAAATGAGCAGGAAAGAAGAATGAGGGGAGAAGCGAGGGGAACGAAGGAAGCTAATGCGGCTGGCACTCAAACTGAGACACCATACCCGCAGAAGGGATGTGGAATGATATAACACCAATCCAACACAAGGATGGGGTCAGCGCTCCGGTAATGTAGATCACACGAGGATGTCTCAGGCGAAAAGGGCCTGACGACCTGAGCGCAAGGCATCTCGGAACCCAGAGTTGTGAGGATGTCTCAGGCGAAAGTGGCTGGACCAACATATAGATTTTTGTTCTAATGGCTCCTTATGCCAGGTACCAATGGAGAAGAGGACAATAATCCTGATCCCGTCCCGTAACATCTAAGTCAAGCGTGACGCTGCAATGGCAAACAGAGACCTCGCGTCATGCCTTAGGCACAACAAAATGTCACATGTTCCAGGTCACAACGCTGAAAGCAACTGGATACCATGCTCGATTGGCTGTTCTACACGTGCGCGTACAGAGCCATGTTCCGACGCTCCACGTAGCGCTGCCCTCAAACTAAAAGTACGGCGCTTTCTTGAGTAGTGCCTCCGCACTGCCATGGAAGCATCGGTTGACTTGCAAGCACCTTTCGGACGACGGCGGCGTTCTGCGCAACCTGCCCTGGATCCACGCTGCGCATGGGACCCGATGACGCGTTCCAGCCCGCCTCCAATACCTGCCAGCCCCGCATCACTCGTGCAGCTGGTCGACGCTTCCAAGTGCACACTGTGCCATCGCTTCGACGCTCCCTGAGCTCCTCGTGCTCTGCACACTCGGTGGCCTTCGGATGCGAGTACCAAGCGCCAAGCGCTTGCTGTCCGCCAAAGAACACTGGCATCATGCCGGTGTAAGTGGCGGAGTACTGCAAGCTAGACCTCGTGCAATTGCAATGGCAATCTCGGTCACGGTCACGGAAGGGGTGGCAAGCCGACCCGTCAGCCTGACGGCAATATTTGTCGACGTTCAGTCCACCGATCCTGCGATCTATCGAAATGTCACACTCGCACTGCGGATCGGTTGCATTTTCGTTGTTGTTGCAGGACGCATAATCCGCGAATGAATCGTTTCCACCTGTGGTGATAGTGTCAGGAATCCGTGTCGACACAATGTCCACACAAAACACCGTATACGTTGCATTCTGCATAGTCACGTTCAGCCAGCCCTGGTACGTGGAGAAGGTGAGAAGCGACACATCTCCCAACAAGCTCCCAGAGTTGTGGTTCATTAGGTAATCAACGTCGTACGTAAACTCCGACTCGCGCATGACCTCGAGCGTCATGGTTCCAGGTGCCGTCCGCCTCGTTGAAGCCACGGGCGCGGGAACGGCACCGGTGCGACATTCCCTGGCGGCGCCAGGATTGCTCCAAGTGCCAGGGCCGAGACTTGGAGTGCCTCGCGCGTGCGCGCGCACTCGAACCCAGTAGGTCGTGCTTGGCGACAGGGAGTCGATGTCTGCTGACAAGGCTGCAGTGGAAAAGATCCCGAAAGCTTGGCCATCTGACGTCCTAGACAGCTGGATCTCGTAGTAATCAGACGGTGTACCTGCGGGTGCCTTCCATTTCACCTGCAGGTGGCCATCCACCCAATCACAGCTGCGCACGTCAACGGCACCGACACATATGGACAGGCCAACCAACATGAGCGTGATGGGGTACCGAGCAGATGCAGCCATCAGCGCGTTCGACATCATGTCTGGGAGCCAGCGTACACTACCAAGGGTGATGAAGCCCTTGCTCATTATTGCATGCGGTCGAGCTGGCTCCTGAGCCTTGAGCCAAGCTTGAGCCAAAATGGCTACGGAGGGTGGACCACCATAGAGCAGGGCATCTCGGAGGTCAGAGTTGCGGGGATGCCGCAGGCGAAAGTGGATGGACCACCGGAGATCAGGGCATCTCCGAGGCCAGAGTTGCGGAGTAGTCTCAGGCGACAGTGGCCTGACCACCTCAGCGCAGGGCATCTCGGAACCCAGAGGTAATGTGGGATGACGATTAAGAAAAAAAGGGGTGGGGAACGATTATAAAAATAGTTTCCCACACCGGGGGGTCAATGCTCAGAAGCTGGGCTCGCCTGTGGTCGTCACAGAAGGCCCGCCTCTGCGACGACCACACAAGCAGGGCTCCCCGTGTCGAGGCTCAAAAAAAGGCCCGCCTGCGACGACCACACAGGCAGCGCTCCCCTGTGACGAGGCGCAAGGAAAGCACCCGCCTGTGACGACCACGCAGGCAGCGCTCCCCTTGTGACGAGGCACAAGGGGAGGGCCCGCTTCTGTGACGACCACACAGGCAACGTCCCCGTGTGTGGAATCTGAATGAGAGGGCCCGCCTTGCGACGACCATACAAGCAGGGCTCCCCTGTGTCGAGGCTCAAAGACAGGACCCGCCTGCGACGACCACACAGCCAGCGCTCCCCTGTGACGAAGCGCAAGGAAAGCGCCCGCCTGTGACGACCACACAGGCAGCGCTCCCCTGTGACGAGGCGCAAGGAAAGCGCACGCCTGTGACGACCACGCAGGCAGCGCTCCCCTTTGACGAGGGTCAAAGAAAGCGCCCGCCTGTGACGACCACACAGGCAGAGCTACCCTGTGACGAAGCTCAGGGAAACTTCCGCCGTGGGGGGGGCGCGCGCCCGAGGACGGCGGGAGGGGGGGGGGGGGACGATAAAAAAATAATTTCCCAGCCCGGGGCCGGTTGTTTCTAATCATCATCCCGAGCGCCGCCGCGTGAACACGACCCCCGGTCATTTTTAAATCATCAACCTCCATTACGAGGATGTCTCGGGCGAAGGTGGCCAGACCATCATGGGCAAGGGCATCACCGAGGTCCGAGTTGTGGGGATGTCTCAGGCGACAGTGGCCTGACCACCTCAGCTCAGAGCATATCCGATGCCAGAACTGTGAAGACGTCTCTGGCGAAAGTGGCCTGCCCACCTCCTCAGGGCATCTCGGAACCGTTGCGAGGATGTCTCAGGCGAAAGTGGCTGGACCATCATGGGGCAGGGCATCTCTGAGGTCAGAATTGCGGGGATGTCGCAGGCGACATGGGCTTCTCGGAACCCAGAGTTGCGAGGATGTCTCTGGCGAAAAGGGCCGGACCACCTCAGCGCAGGGCATCTCGGAAACGAGAGCTGCGAGGATGTCGCAGGCGAAATTGGCCAGACCACCATGTGGCAGGGCATCTCTGGCAACACAGAGTTTCGAGCATGTTTGAGGTGAAAATGACCTGACCACCTGATTTCATGAAATCCCAGACCATCATGGGGCAGGGCATCTCCGAGGTCAGAGTTACGGGGATGCCGCAGGCGAAAGCGGATGGAACACCTGAGCTCAGGGCATCTCGGAATCCTGCCCAACCGACCATGGCCTGGCCGGCCCCCGCTTTGTTGCACGTTGCACACATGCCCCGCACAGCCACGCACAGCATTTGCACAGGCCGAAGCGACGACCCTAACGGACACCAAGCTCGCATTCAAAATAAACATGAGGCGTCTCGTGAGACAGCGAGGCGTCCCATGGGACAGCATGCCCCCGGAAAACCCTCGTTGCCTCCTTCGGCACAGCCCTCACGCAGGTCGAGGCTTGCAAGGATTGTTGGCACCTCGTGTGGAGGCATATCCGAGGTCAGCATTGCGAGGATATCTCAGGCGACAGTGGCCTTACCATTTGGGCTCAAGGCATTTCAGAACCCAGAGATGCGCGGATGTCTCAGGCGAAAGCGGCTGGATCACCGTAGGGCAGGGCATCTCCGAGGTAAGACTTGCGAGGATGTGAGATCGTGCATGCGTGACGTGTGGATATGCACCACTCGCCGCCACTCGCCGCCGTTTGACCTCTGGGGGCCCCTTTCTGCCATTGCGCTAAAACGCATCACAATCACACTAGTAGCGGAGCTACCACACGATCCCCGTATCGTACCACTGCGCGCACGTCTCATCAGAGAGTGTCGCACAACCTCTCTTTCCTTTCCGTACTGGCAGTTTCCCTCGCTGGGGGACTGAGCCTTGCGCCATGGCATTTTCTTCTCTTCGCTATCGGCCGAGCGCCGACGCGCTGACGCGGTCCGAGGCGAAGAGTGGCTCCTACATCTACGACGGCAAGGTGAACAACTTCCACGAGTGGGAATTCCGCACAGAGATGCGCATGAGTGCCACCTTGGCCTCAGTGGATCAACGGGTGAACCACAGCAACACGTGATCACCGCAGCTGTCAACAAGATTGTAGAAGGCCTCAGAAGTGACGCATTCGATATTGCCATGGATATCGGTAAGGACGTGCCCCTGACTCCGAATGGGATCGATCAGATGGTGCTGGCGATTCGTACTTCACTATTCCCCATAGAGGCGCAGGAAGCGAATATCCTGTTCCAGGTGGGGCAGAGACCATATGGACCACTGTCTCGACAGCACGGTGAGTCTATGGTCTCGTACACCTCCCGAAGGAAGCGGTGGTGGAAACTTGTCTCCAAGTTGGATCCTAAGATCTTGATGAGCGACGATATGCTTGGATCCCTTCTCTTGGACCGTGCAGGCCTCTCGCCTTCGGAAAACCTGATGGCGTTGACATCCACAGGAAATGTGACAACCTTCGACAAGATCAAGGATGTCTTGATCCTCCAGCACGGCCGCATACATTTCCGCCAAAAAGGCAAGGGTGAGTCTGGTAAAAGCTCCAGCTCTTCGACGTGGACGCAGCCCAGACCCAGCTACCAGAACAGGAGCAAGGGCAAGGGCAAAGTGCGCTTCTCCAGGCCACAGCACGCCTTCTACACTGCTGATGAAGGATGGTACGAGCAGGAGGAACATTACCCTGAGGAGCTGAATCCCAGCTGATATTACGCGTCCGGCTATGCGCCAAAGCACGGCTGGGACGACACGGCCTGGGACGACTATGCCGACGAACACACCTACGTCGACGAGGAATCGTATGCTCACTGGGCTCCTGTCCAGGCTAGCAGCGAGCTCGACGTCGAGGTGGTCGACGAGATGGTCAAGGCCGGATATACAGAGGAAGAAGCTTCTGACGCGATCCAAGAGGACCTGGTGGCCAACCTTGGCACCAAAGGGAGGAGCAAAGGCAAAGGAAAGAGCCAAGGCAAGAGTTACCACTACACGCCCTGGTAGCCCAAGGGAGGCGGCAAGGGAGGACCTTCCCTGGAGCATCGGAAGAAGCGGCTCCAGGATATCAAGAAACGCTCGACATGCAAGACCTGCCACGAAACAGGCCACTGGTCCGGGGACCCTGAATGCAAGGGCAAGCCCAGGACGGCAATGGTAGCGTACACTGGAGACACTGGCGAGCGCCATGTCCAGTTGCGCGAGGACGAGGACGAACGGAACTTCACATCTGTCAGTTCTGTTGCTGTATCACCATCAACCCCTCATCAGACCATTAGGAACAAGGAGGAGTCGATGAGGATGGACTCCGGTGTTTCTCGTTTCTGCTCTTCTGTCGTTTCTCGCGTCATGTGTCACAAGGTATGTGTCTATAAGGCAGAGAAGTGTGACGGACAGTGTAGATTGCAGTACAACCACATTGAGCATCATGTCTGTGAGAGTTGCATGGGGGTGACCGAAGCCACTCCGTCTCAGGGACTTCCAGAGCTTCAGGAGAAGAGTCTTCAGACCTCTGCAGAGGCTGAAGGGGGATACTCTTGGGTTCATGGCTGTTCGCTCGACCGAAGATTACCCTATGGCTCGTGGTTCTGATGAGGAGTTTGAGGAGGAGGAATATGTTTCTGATCTTATCTCTGTTCCTGGTCAGGATACTGCATTTGCTTCGGGTCAACACAAAAGGCTTAGTTATGGCCGTGTTCTCCGGGTACTCCAGACTACGTATATTGGGGTAGCAAGGTGAAAAAAAAACCAAGTGAGGATCTAGTTCTGTTCTTAGGATGGGCCGATAGCAACTTTACTCGGAAGGAAGACGGACACATTGCGAGAGTTTCGGGGCGGGAAGTTTCCAATAACCAAGTTTTGCCTTCTCCGAGTTCTACTTCTGGCTTGAAAAGGAAGCCTCCAGATCCCCCGTTGCCTCATCCATGTGCTCGAGTTTGTAAGAATATCTGAGGAGTTGGTCCTCGTGCTCGTTTCATTGTTCGCACCTGCAAGGATTGCGGGCACAAGACCAAGAAAAAAAGGCACACGGTACTACACTACCCGGGTGAGTGTCCGCACGATCTTGTCGATAATCGCGGCAGTACTCCAGATATTGTTCGCGCGCGTTGTTGTCGTTGCCTGACACATATCGATGAGCAGCTCATGTAGCTAGCAGAAGACAAGAAAGCAACAGGAAAGAACGTTGAACGCTCCAGCAACATCCAAGCATAAGCAATCGAGAAGGTTACTGAGGATGATCGCCGTATCACCTCTGTAGAATTAAAGGTTGTACTAAAGGCTTTCACTAAACATGCTGTTGAGATTTGTGATGATACAGGTGACATCCGTACAAATGAACCAACTTCTTTGCTTCATGACTGTGTTACGGAAGTCCCAGATCACAGTCTTGTCGGTTTTATGGCTCCAACACAGAGCGTTTCGACTGAAGTTCCAGCTCTTTCTAAGCTTCGTACGGTTGACGTCTTCAAGGACGAATGTGTTTGGGTTGTTCTCGAGGAGGGTTGTAATTCGTGTTGTCACGGCGAAGCTTGGGCTCTTAACGCACAGGATAAACTCGCGAACTTGGGTTTCTATCCCACGCGGGTTCACAAACAGCGTAAGACGTACAGCGGTTTAGGAGGACAGGCAGGAAGTGAGACGACAGGTAAGAAGAGTTTC